AGAGCACACAGGCACTGGGGTCATAGGATACTAAGCCCTGATGATTTACAATGGGAAGCCTAGCGTATGAATAAAGGGCCAAGCACAGCACAGAGCAGACACGAGCACAGCTCTCTCTGGTAACCCACCCTTGGAGAGGCCTCAGGGCCTGAGGTATTTGTGGCCTTCAAGTCATTACAAAGGCCAGAGTTCAGGCTCAGCGTAATGCAGTATCCTGTGTGCTGTTTCCACAATGACTGGCTGGGATGTCTACACCTGCTGCAGAAACACGTACGGAACCAACTTCCATGGGATGTTTTGAGCTGCATGTGTCGTTTTCAAAGTTGTTCTGCTGCTTCCTGCTTCTGGCTCCAATTAATCCCATTGCCTGTGAAGTGCGAATGACCTCATCAACAGGCTGTTTTGGGTCCTTGGGGTTCCCATGGCAACCGTGATCTCATAACTATGCAGGCTTGTTTGTGGAAAAACCACAAAGCAGCAGAACAGCTACAGATACTCCATAAATATGTGTAATAAAATCAGTGGATAAGGAGGATGAAAGAACAGATTGGGTTTGTGATGGAGAGAGCCCAAACGTTCCCTGAAGTTCTTTCTGCCAAGAAAGATCTGATAGCAATGGATGAAGGAGCTGTAAATATCTGTTTTCTGCACTCTGTGCAGGAGCTCCAATCTGCTGTGCACATTACTGTTGCATGTACTGGTCTTTTGCTACTGTGGCTCTGTGGGTGAACTGGCTTTCACCTGTCAGACTGGAGTCTGTGATCTCCAGCAGGTGGGGTGACCGACCAGAGGACTGGACTGTCGCGCTCAGGAGCAGAATGAGGTCTCTACGTAGCAATTTGAATTCCAAATGTATTCTGGCGTCTCTAGGTGCATTCCCTCGAGATTGTGGAATTCGGAAACATGTTGCAACTCTTCCTGAGAAGTGCTGATGAAGCCACAGTGGGATCCACACAGTGGGGTGAAGCTCAGAGCAGGGGACACAAGAGAAAATTAAGAGGAAACCGTATATTGAGACCGAGAAGAGGCGAGGTCTGGGGAATCGATCCCATTAGCATCCAGTGTACTGAGTCACTGCCTTGACTCTGAAATCAGACAGTGCTGGTTGCAAAACAGAGCTGAATCCAGCTCTGTTGACCCAGTGACCCTCGTCTCCCAGTGTCCTGGCGAGAGTGTGCAGACGCTCCGTATCCGTCCTGAGTCAGCCTGATTCTGCTCTGCTCTGATTCTTGCTTCTGGTGTCTTAACGGAGCACTGAGAAAAGCCAGGAAGCCACGTGCTTGCCGATTTGCTTGGGAGGGAAAACAGGGAAATGGGAAACAGGGATCTGCTCCCTAAGCAAGGGAACCGGACAGCAGGAGAGGTGTGGGGGGTCACTGCAGGTCTGCAGGGCAAGAGGATCGTGGCCAGGGACAGGCTACAGCTGTGGTTTCTGTGAACGTCACACTACAGGACTCGACACGACTTCCAGTCGGAGAGCACGTCACATTTAACGACTGCAGTCGCTGAATCTCGCTGCCTCTTCTGTCCTAGAGGGTGTCAAGCGACAAGACTAGGA